TAAAATTTCTACAAGGAAAAGAGAAGAATAGGTGGTTAAAGGTCGACAGGGAAAAGGTCGAAAGACAAAACGTCGAAAAATAGGAAGTAGAAAAGCACATTGCAGAAATAAAAAATGTCGAAAGTGAAAATGTCGAAAGATAAAAATGCAGATAGGCAGATTGCCGAATGAACAAAAAACATTTAAAAAAAGCAGGAAAGGATAAATATTGATAGTGCCATTGAAAATGATCTCCTAATTAGCTTATTTGTCTGTCTATCAATTTGAATGTTTCGTTAAGAGGATCTAACAATAATGATTAATTAATACACTGTATGTATATATAGTAGCTTGTATTCATTGTTTTACATTTCATTTCAATCGTGCCTTATTTTGTTCTGAATATTGTCATGAATAATACGCCTATAATAACATTCTCACAAAGCAATAAAGGCAAGCGTGTACTTGTCTGTGATGGTTATGTGTATCATTTAAACAAGTCATGCTCGAAGGTCAAGTACTGGCGTTGTGAAAACCGTCTCTGTGCTGCTGTTATTCATACTGATATCAATGACCAATTCAAAGTACGCAAAGGTGATCACTCAAGTCATCTATCTTCGCCGGAACACATCGAAATTCTTAGCTTGAAATCTAATATAAAACAACGCGTAGTTACTGAAGCTACACCAATTGGTCGTATTTACGATGAAGAAGTAGCCAAAGCTCAATTGAGTCAAACTGCTTTAAGCATAGTCGCATCAGCTCAAGATGCTAGTAAGTATCTTGGTTTGTCATCATTGATTTGATCTGGCATATTTTAGAGTCACCATTAAATCGAATTCGTCGACTTGAAACTCCTCTTCTACCAAAATCATGTCGTTTTGATATTCCTACTCTTTATAATCATACAATCAACGTAGAACGATTTTTACTTTACGACAAAATGAGACGAAATAAAAGAATACTTATTTTCGCTACAGATGATCAACTACGTGTCCTTTTTAAAGCTAAACACATATTAATGGATGGTACGTTCTCGTCATGCCCACCATTTTTTGACCAAGTTTACACGCTTCATGCAATTAAGTTCGAACAGAGTGAGTAAATGATACCTTGCATTTCTTTAAAATTCTAATCACTTATGTTAAGGTTTTCCATGTGTGTTTGCTCTTCTCACGGGTCGCTCTAGTTCTATCTACAAAGAAATGCTTCAACAACTCGAAGAAGAGGCTGAGCGCCTTCAAATGGACTTTGTACCTAATCAAATAACAACTGACTTTGAAAAGGCACTTGTAAAACCATTACGAGAACAGGTAGGCAAAATCTTTAAGATATTATTAGCTCATTATTTAGTTTTTAGTTTCCTGGAGCTCGTCACACCGGCTGCTTTTTCCACTTTTGCCAAGCCATTTACAGAAAGATTCGAGAACTTGGTTTAAGTAACACATACAAAGATGATGCAAATGCTCGCAATTTTTGTCGTCGCCTGATGGCCTTACCCCTTCTACCACTAAATGAAGTAGAATTTGCATTTGAAGAACTTACTGAACAATGCCCAGACGTTCTTGCACCACTTTTCGTCTATTTCGATAATTACTGGATGAAACAAATATCTTTGATTTTATGGAACGTATCTGACTTAAAAACACGGACTAACAATAATTGCGAAGGTGAGATCTCTCTTTTATCTATTTTTAATGATTCTATTCCATTCGAATTTAGGCTGGCACAATCGTTTCAATCGTCGTGTTGATAAGATGCACCCTAACATATGGCATTTTATTGATGTTCTCAAGAGAGAAGAAGTTCATTTCCAACAAAAGCTTCTCCATGCGAAGAGTGGCTTCTTCAAGAAACAATCGAAAAGAACCTGCATTATTCAAGAACGTCTCGAAGTCTTAGCCAATCATTTTTCAAATAATGAAATTGATGTGAACGAATATCTCGAAGGTCTTTCAATGATCGTAGCAAAGGATAAAACGAAAAAAAAACTTAACAGCTGAACTGATTAATTCTCTCTATATCATATATTATTCGACTGTATTTTTTTGTTTTGAATATTCTTATTCTTGATATGAATTTTTGTGCTCTTTATTTATTATCTGTGTAGTATGTTTCATTCATTTTCTGGATAGTCTATAACTTAATATTTTTCGGTAAAATATTTATGAATAAATAGATGATTCGAATTCTACTATTATTGTTTTCGACATTTTTTCGACCTTTTCACTTTCGACATTTTTTTTCCGACCTTTTCGTACTTTACCGAAGAGAATCGTTTTCATCATTTACGTATTCAATTTTATGCAGGTTTAGGAGCAAGGCCTAAACAATCGCAATTCAACGTCGTATTGATAATCTTGGTCAACGATATTAGGATGGCGTTATAAGTACTATGGAGTACATAGATGGCTTATCATATGCAGTGGCAAAACGAAAAAAATAGCATTTTCTATTTTTTTCTGTTTTATATTTTCATTTATGTTTTATTTCGATTATCATATGTTAGTATTAACGTACGCAACAAAACATCCTTCTCTTAAGTCAGAATTCTAAAATACTCTTTTCGATCATTTTCCACAACAATATATTTTTTCGACGTTTTTCCTTTCGACGGCCAACCTTTGTTTTGTATGAATAATACGTGGAGGGCCTGGTGGAGCAGATAATTGAATAGCACCAGTCTTCTCACTGTATCATAACTAATAGCACCGTTTAAATCGCGAAAAACATTTTCGCTATTTTAATCATCACTTTCATGCTTTGAAAGTACTAGTTGTTGAAGGTCTTTACTTTTCATTATTCGAAACGCTCTTATAATGAACACTATACTGGGGAAAATATATCAGTTTGTAGAAAAGCACGTGAACAATTGAACGAAAAAAAAAAGAATCAGCCCGATCTAATAAATAATCTGGCCCACTCGATACAAGGCTGAGGGTGTGGGGTGTCCCCTTAAGGGAGAACCCCCCCTTAAAAAACTCGATTTTTTCATAAAAAATCGAAATTGAGTTTTTATCATAGGAAGATGATCCAAAGTCTCCTCTTTCAGAATATATATAGATTTTTGAAGAACAGTTCGATTTTGATAAATCTATTTCATAAAATGTAGGTTCTACTATCTGGGTTTTTGGGAAACTTTCAATTTTTGGAAAATTTGAAACTTCACTCTAAAATAAAATGTGCCTATGTGTTGCAACGAGCACTTGGTGTCGTATTTCTTGCGTTTTCCGCGGAGAACGCAAGAAATACGACACATAGGTACATTTTATTTTAGAGTGTTCCACTTAGAAATAAACGTTTGTATGCTAATTATTAAGCGCGTAATGACAATAAATGTATAAATCTCACATTTATAAATTGATATTGAACATATAATACATAAAAATTGGTCAAAAATGTAAGGATTTTTGAGAAGATCGAAATTTTATTATTTTGAAATTTTTCATTATTCTTAGGTGGGTAATACGGAAAGTTTGTTCATAGCAAATATGTTATGCACATAAGAAGTTGTCATTACAACAAAATAAAAAGAAAAGCGAGGGAAAAATATCAATTAATAACGAAAAATTTCAATAAATGTATCAAGAGTAAAGATAACGTTAGGTTTTCGTGATGCATTGCCGTTATCGATGTCTGATGTATGTAAACACCGGATTATTTGTTTAATTAATGGAGGATATTCATAGACTTCTTTTTTTTGTGTCTTTTTTGTAGTCGAATGTTAATAATAAGATGATTGAGTTTATTGTAAATCTCTTGTCGAGATTGTTGGTGATATGGTCAATCAAGAGGATTTGTATCTTCCGAGAGTGCTAATGATGCAAATGATCTTGATATCCTTTTGTTACTATTGAAAATAAAAAATAATGTTTAGTTCAAGCTGCAGTGAACTATTAGATGAAAGTAGCGAAAGCTTTAATTAAAAAATAATTGTAAGTAAGGCGTAGAATCAATACACTAAGGCCCCAAACAGACCAAAAAAATAAAACAGAATTAAGCAACGTGATTGGTTAATTCACACTTAAGTCATCTTTTCGAGACGATTTAGGCCTTGCCCACACTACAAAAGTTAATACTGTATTAAGAAATATGATTGGTTGAAAAGTTAATACAGACTTAATACACTTTTGAAAAGTGTATTAAAGTTAATGCACCAATAAAAATTGAATTTGATTATCGAATGAAAGTGAGGCAGTAGGTGTCCGTTGAGTTGCATAAAAAATCGTTAAAAAAATGAATATTTTTCAACAGATAATAATATAATTGTCTTCAAATATATATTAATTTTTGAAAAAAGATAAACAACAGTATTTAGTTGTTTTTTTCGCTCAGGCTGATTTATTAAAACAATGGCTACTCACGTAACGACAGTTGTCAAAAACGTCAAATATTTCGATAATAAACCTAATTGCAATTTAAGAACATTAGGTGGTCCTGACATGAGAGNGTTTTTTTCGCTCAGGCTGATTTATTAAAACAATGGCTACTCACGTAACGACAGTTGTCAAAAACGTCAAATATTTCGATAATAAACCTAATTGCAATTTAAGAACATTAGGTGGTCCTGATATGAGAGATGCATTAGCTTATTCTTTTGTACAGAATCCACTGTAATTCTTTTTTTAAGTCAAAATTGTATTATTTGTTTTAAAAAGTTAAATAGAAATAAAATTGTACCTGATGGTACACTTATTTTACAATAATTTTTGATCATGACAAATTTCTACTAACTACAATTTTAGGAGAAGAATTCAAGATGATGATAAATATATTCATAGAATGATCAGAAGAATTAGAGAAATCAACGTTTAAGTCTAACAGTATCAGCTCTACCATTTTCAATACTAAAATGTTCAATATTATATTAAAAAGAAAACTTGAAGATTTTTATAGCAGCACAGAATTCATGACTCTATTTATGGTGTTGGCAACTCCTCTATTATTAAACAGAGCAAGCGACATGTATTTTCGTAACGTGCTGCTTTTATGCACTATGTTTAAATGATTAAAATATTTTCTAAATTCTGATTGGTGCATTAACTTCTAAGTGTGGACGCACATTTTTTATTATCAAGATCCCATGTCTATACGACACGGTACCGACACATGTGTCGACACAATGACACAGTGACCGTACGTGTGTTGACACATGATAACACAGCGAAGTTTCTGTATGGAGTGTGTCGACACATGTGCCGGTAGTGTCGTTTTTCTATGGACGATATATGTATGGGTAAAATATGGAGGAAAGAAGAGGAAAGAAAAAAAAACGAGCTTTCTTTTCGTCTATAGAATTCAAAATTTCCGTTGTTACAGTTATAGTCAATTCGTTTCGATGGCCTAAATTTTTATGTTTTATATGTTGTACAATACATTTTACTATTGGTAACTTTTTCTTTCCTATTATTAAATTCGCATAGAATTTGTTTTGTGAAATTTAATTCTTCTCATATCATATTTTTCCAATTTTAGATCGTTGTGTAAATCAGCAATGAAGAGAAAGCGTCAGAATGTTCCAAATAAAATTGAAGAAACAAATACTTACAGTAAGTATGATGGTCTGTGCGAAAACAAAATATTGTATTTCCCTTATTAGACAAAATGTTTCCTATCGAATATTGTTTTCTAGGACGTTTATGCAACAACCGTCGACAAGAAGAGCGAAGAAAACGACTCGCGAACGTATTTGCTTCGAATGATATTATACTTGCTGATCCATCGGTGATGTTCGTAGAAGGTGAGCGTTTTTTTTTACTAATGTTCCATGCTTTATTTACTGTATCTAAATGCACAGATGTTAGTGTTTTTGCCGAGGAAGAAAATGTCGACGATGATACACTTGAAGATTTATCGGAGCAGTGTAACCAGGGTGAACTATTTTAATTGTACATCAGCCTCATCATTGTACGCGTTTATTTGTTTCATGTATTAATACAATCATTATGGAAATAAATGAGAATAACTGACGTCATCGATGACGCCTGAATGCAACGCGAAAGTAATTCTTTGATGATCATTTTCATTGGTCGGCTGTTCAGTGACTAAAAATTGAACCAATAGGATAAAAGAAAAAAAAATGTGTCACA